CGAGCTTTGATCTTGCTCGAGAGAGTTGATTCCATGAGTGCCCCATACAGCTGGTTTGCTGCTGCGAGTGGAGTGCAGGATTGATTTAAGTTTCCCTAAGAATCTAGGAGCCAAATCATTAATGCGAACATGAACTATCTTGCGTCGAGTAGGTAGTAGCTTAAGTATTGCTAGTAGTTTACCGCCTTACTCAATTTAAGTATGTCACATGGCTCGGCAGGCGGCGGTCCGTGGCCAACGGCGCGACCGGAGCGGCATTGGTTGCGGCCTCGAAAGTGTGACAGCGAAAGCGGAGACTCTTTCGAGTGGGGAAACAGAGTGGACATGAAAACGGCGATGGCCAAACCAACCACCGAACTTGCCGACAGTAGGTACCAATTGTGACGGCAATTGCACGGCGAATTTACAGTCCATAAATTATTCCGCTTGGTAATCTTGAGTTGCTTCCTGGCTGAACAAACACAATCCTTTGTTGCAGACAAACTCTGAGAAGTCAGATAGTTCACTTCCTTTCCGAGCCAGCCTGCCCAGTTGTGTCACAGAGCTTGATCGTGCTTGCGAGATCGCAGTGGAAGGTAGCGGAACCCTTTGAGACTCCAGTGTCAATCACACCCATGGTATCTATCGCACTCTTGTGTGCTACACGAGTTTGGCAGTATGATCATCTCCCAGGCTACATCACCAAGATCGAAGATGCCGCTGAAGACTCATCAGGATCTCGGGTCTGCGAGGCATCTCTGGGCGGATGATTCAGAAGGAGTCGGATGATGCTTTTAGTCTTATATGTTCAATGAACATTAGGAACTCAGCTTTGATTTGTTCAGCCTTCTGGTTTGGACACCTGTTCCATGGTACTAGAAAGAACCAGAACACCTGCACAACAACTTGGATTGTTTTTTGGTGCATCAGTGACATCAAACAATCCCTGTGAAGATTGTGAAGGTGACTTTTGAAGGCCGCCACGGAAGGCAGGGAGAAGTCGGAATGCCCTCTTGGTGCTCATTGCTCCTGTGAGTTCTATGTCTAAGGGAGCAGACCAAAAAGCCTTATGCCGTATGCTTTCCAAGTGCACAATCCCAGCGCGCTATACTTTGCTTGCTTGCATTCTTTTTGATTGCAAGGCGATCCATCAATGACGATTGTAGATTTGCGTTGTAGGTTTCAGAAGATGGGTCACCAGGGTCTTCATTGCCGCGGTGAATAGACAAAAGTCATTACAGTAGTCATTTACGTGAGTCATCACGCTGTCAGGAAATGTGGTACGCGCGCACATGCCAGCAAAGAGACTCCCCCCACACCACACACACAAGCGAAGCTGCAGTCTCATCAAGCTGAGCGTTCAGTTGTGCTTCATGACCCTGATTTGCAGGCCTCCTGTTGTGCTTTGGTACCCCGAAGTGGCGCTGGTCTGCAGCCTTAGCAGTTGCCGGCTGGACTTAGTAAGCATTGCTAAATATTGCAAATAATTTAGCTAGGAAGGTGAAGTAGTGATGCTCCGTAAGTTCAGATGAACATTCTCCACAGGCCAATGGAAGCAGCTTCGGACAGCTCTTATCGCTTTTGAATCAATCAAGATGCCCCCAGCATATGCAACTGCAACTGCAACAACAGCAGAACGGCAGCAACAGCAGTGGCAGCGGCAGCGGCAGCAAAAGCAGCAGCAGGAGCAGCAGCAACAGCAACAGCCACAGGGCAGAACAAAAGTACATTCATCATTCCGTTTGCCTTCCTTACTTCTCAGACTGCTGCAGACCTGTTTCCTAGGAGATGGTTAAGCCACCGTCAACGCTGCTTGAGGCCATTTGAGTCAAGATGGTTCCAGCACAAAGGGTCGAGTTCAATTGCTGACAATGTTCGCCCAAAGGGAGAGGTCCCCCCAAATGCTAAAGATTCACACAGGCCATGCAGAAGTTGGATGCCGCAGAGACTGAGCTGATGAGGCTCAGGGGTGACTTGCAGGCAGGGCTTGCGGCATGGATGGCCCAATCAAGACCATAGGTTTGCGCATGGCATACATACCATGACATACCATTGCGCAATTGTTCCATGGCGCTGGCATCGACGTTGTGCATCGTTGCTGGCATTTGGCGCCCATTAGCTACATGAGGAGTTTCGAAAGATATTTTTCTTTGGTTTGACCATGTTGGACCTCAATTTGAAAAGTCAATTTGATTTGAACCCCTTTAGACTTTCAAGGTGGTTCGTTGCGTGCGGAGTGGATCCATAGCACTGCACATCGATCTTGCATCTCTTTCGCTACCGACACAGGCAGCTCGGAAAGATGAGGCCATGCGACAGCAGGACGGGAAAGGACATGTTGCTGATAGTAGCTGAGAATTAATTAAAGGATATCCAAGGATTATCAAAGTGCAAACGGCCAGCATCTCCAACTATGAACACATGTGACAGAAGAGCTTCATTCGCTAGTGCCGCTAGTGCTCGTCATTCATGGCTTCTGTAAGGAGTGGATGGCGACTGCGCAAATTGGGAAGCTCCCAAGGCTTCCCCGTGACGGTCTTGAGACCGACGGAACGCCCAAAGAAAAAGCAGAGCGCGTTGCTGCGTCGCTGGACGTAATGAAAGAACCATGGACACTGATATGGCATTGAAATGCATTGCATGCACTTTCAACAAAAGACAAGTGTACAGCTCAGATCCAAAAACGATCGAAACGTAGCATTGATCACAGTTTTGGGCCCATGCACCATCCATTGGACCATCATTAGTCATTTAATTTGACCAAAGAAACACTGATTCTTTCTGTAGCCAATGTTAGCTACATGGGCTAGTGGGGAAGGGCAGGAATTGGTGATCCCTGAACTTCGACAATGTGAGGTGCAATTCAGCTTCCTGCCTATGTTGGACGATGTCTCTCGTTGTCCAATGTATAATGTATGCTGCTCTGCACTTTCAGTGTCCTTTGTGCAGGCTCACATGAAGCTAGAACAGGTCTTTGTGTTTACCGTTTCAACATGTTTCAACCCTTCCTATCTCCGCGTTTGACTATCGCACACCTTCAAACTGTTGGATGGGAACCGCACGATCCGAGCAGTGATGCATTGAACTGTTTGAAATGAGTTTGAACTGCAAATCAATTGTTTTTGTCTTGCTCTGGATGTCTGGACTTCACGCACTTCAACCGTCTAGACCTGCTTTTAGCACGCCTTTTGATGACATCCAGCATGGAGTCGAGATGACACATGCACTCTTTTTTGAAACCTTCTCTACATGTGCAGCGTCAGATGCTTCAAAGGAGTCGCGAGGCTTCAAGGGGGTTCAGTAGAGAAACATGCAGGTGCAGGCCAACAAAAAGAGCTTGTCAACGGAAACCCTCCATTGATGCCCGCCACATGCTTGCTCTCTGATGCGAGCCACTCATTAAGCCCCACCACCGTTACCACCATTCCTTTCAGCTGCCCGCATCCTTCAAGAACGGCCTGTATACAGGCTACTGTTTGCACCAACCAAGGAAAGGGCGAGAGTCCGTAAACTGGATAATCCAATTCAATGATACCTCCTAAGGTCATCAATCTGCAAGGTTCGGTTACGCATTACATGCTGGGACCCAATATGTTTCTGCAGCCAATCATTCTGACAGCAACTTTCTCTGAGATGTGCTCCAAGGGAGCGGTTGCAGTCCTCTGGCAGTATCCACCTTTTGTGACTTGCAAACCACCCAGCAACAATTGAATCTTGAGCATGTGTGCGCTGAACAGTGGAACTCAAAGGAGACACCAGGAAACGTCAATTGGCTTCACTGCCTGGGTGTGTGGGCATTTGGCAGTCTTGATCTGTGTAGAAAGGCTGACTTCGTTGCCTTTGGCCTTCCCTGTGCTTGTGGATTGTGTGCTTTGTAGTTGTTGGGCTCCAGTCTGCTTTAACAAGTCCCAAGCATGCAACGTCCTTTAGCCTTTGCTACTTGGGAACATGTGATTGTCAAAAAGACAGAAGACTGGCTTGATCCATCATATCGGTACTGTAATTCCATAATAACCTTGGGAAGCGTATACTTAGTCACAGAGGGGACACGTTGCAATCATTCTTGGAATGCATGCGGTTTTGCATGTGTCTAGAGTTTTTGACAAGTAGTTCCATTTTGTATCGACACTGGCTCAGCGCTTTTTTTGGAGCCACTCAAGCGAAGCAACAGTTCATCGAAATAGCATTTGACGATTGTGTGATAGCATCTATATAAATAGAGACCCTGTGAGCTATGGCTACTTTAAATCACCTGCAGCTGGCGAACTCGGTTGAAGAAGCTCTCCGAGGAGAGGGAAGGCGCCAAAAGGGCATTCATTTTGGGAGGGTTTGGTTGGGGCATTTCAGGGGAAATGTCCGGTTCAACCAGTTGACCTGTCAATTTTTGCCTTGGATGCGTTGAGTGCCAGGCCCCGAGAGAACCATGGCCGCGGAGATGTGCCCTTCTGGGCGAGGCGGCGTAGCTACCATGGACCAGATGGACAAGACACGATCAATAGAATTTCAATGCCAGGAGCTCTCCAACCTACTAGCGATGGCCTCCAATAAGTATTATATACTGCACTTTAATATACTTAAAAGTTTGTAGAACTTTCAACGGATATAGTCAGCCTTGACCTTGAAGAGACCTTGCAGCATTCAGGCGGCAGCGAGAAATGGTGAATTGGATGCTCAACTCCTTCGTAGGCCTCATCGGTGTTGGGGCCTCAAATGGCCTCAAACTGAGTGTGATTTGATGGGCATCACTACTAGCAACAAGGGCATCGCTACTAGTAACAAGGGCATTACTACTAGTAGCTAGAAGCTACTGTAACCAGGGCATTACCCTAGCAGGTTTGCTCCTGTGTCAAGACCTGCCGCTTCGCTATATCCAGCTCAAACCCAGCTGCAAATTGAGCGAATCATTAGTAAGGCACCTTGTACCACTAGTAGCTTCTTGTTACTAGTAGTGTGCAGACACTTCCTTGCGTTGTAAGTATCCAATATTGTTCACTTTGAGATTTGACCGAGCCAAGGCCCGCATGGGTGTGGCCATGATGAAGGCCGTGCCCTTGGTGTCTTTGTTGGTGGTGCTGCGACGCACCTGGCGCTTGAACCAGATCATGATGAGGAATAGGAGGCAGGAGATGCCGAATCTTCGCAAGTGAACAAGAGGGTGAACAGAAAGAACAATTCGAAGTGCCCTCAAGAACTTTGTGATTTCTTGGGGCTTCCTTATATTTTTTAAATAGAGAATCTGAAGCTGACTCCAGCACTTGGTGAGAGAGCAGAGTGCGATCAAGCCCTTGTTTTCCCTCTGGCGGTTTGCTGTTGGAGTGTTGCAAGACCCGGTAGAACCTGCAAGAGAGTATCAACGGAATATGACCTGGGATCAGACAGGATCAGATGCAGAAAGTGCAACAGAGGTCAGTCAGTCCTTTTGTGCAACACATTTTTCTTACACTACACTGTAGCTGTTGCAGTCTTGCCCTGATTGGAAGGATTTCTTGCTGGCTGAATCTTCATATTCCCTACAGTTGAGGTGTAGGAACGCATGCCCAATGGGTGATGGTCATGTCAAAGATCTCCTCGACACCCTCTGAAACCGAGAGCACTCTTGGTGCTGAGCCCGTGAGCGCAGGTCAAAGGTTTGGATCTTGATTCGGTCTGCCTTTGAGATGTGGACCCTGATCGAATTGATTTTTTGGATCTACTTCAGGTGCCGGATGGTGCAGCATGAGCGTTGCTTCCATAAATTGTGCAGAGAATCTTAGAAGACAGGGCGCATCTAAGATCTACCCGATCTTGCAACAGCTAGCAGCTAGGAAAGATAGAAGGACAATTGAAGATGAATTCGCCAGCATTGGATGGCACAGATCCTGGTGTAATTTCCTGCTAGGTGCAAGAAGTGGAGCTTAGAGGCTCGCCGCGCATATCAGCCTCGTGTCCTGTGGAAGGCTCGTGGCGAGAGGCCTGCCCAAAGTGCAATGAAGTGGCAAAGGGTTGGTTGAAGAAGACAAGATGTTCAGTTCTCATGCGCCACAAGAACCCTGAGATGCTGCAGATAGTGGAATCAGTACAATTTTGGCTGTCCAGATTGCCCAAGGAATCTTAAGGCACCACAGCATCCCTGCTGCATCCACCTGGAGCCACTGAGCTCGTTGGTGCAAGGGCTAGCATCAAAGATGCACGTTCGTAGTAGTAAGAATGCTACTAGTAGTAATGCCCTTTGTTACTAGTAGCGATGCCCTTGCTCCTAGTAGCTTCTTGTTACTAGGGTTCGCAGGAAGTGGAAGTTGTTTTTGAGCATCCAAGGCTAGCAGCAGTTGGTGACTTTTTGGTGTCAGGGGGAGGGCCTCTATCCAAAGTAAACGACCTGTTTGTTGATGTAGCTTCCGAAGGGTAGCAAACAAAGCTTGCATTCTCCGTTGATGCAAACTCTGTGCAGGGAGCGGCTGTTGACAAACTTCCTGACCACGATTGCTGGGACCCTAGCCATTGGAATCTATAGAATCGTGATGAATCGTGATGATCATCCAGGGTACTGGTATTCTTGCTCTCCAAGAGTGTCTTGTCGTCTTGTCAACGTGCACAAATTAGTAAATTGCAGAATGCATCGTAGATCATTTGTGGGCATGGAGCTAGGCTCCACCTTCCAGGCAGAATCATGCACCAAGCCACAATCAAAGCCAGTTGACTTGACCTCGACTCAGACTTACACTTGAGCATCAAACCCATCAAACCCGATGCCATACAATGTGCTTTCTGTCCGGAAACGTGGCCAGCATCTTCTGCGCAACATGAACCATTTATATAGATTGCATGGACACCGGAACCGGGATGTTTTCGGCGACCTGTCCACACTTTACCAACAACCTCTCGATGGGATCCATGGCATATTGAGTGCGGGAACAAATGGACTGGGACTAGTTGCTCCGGAAGCAGTTCGCAGTGGAGATGTTTGGGAACTCTGGCGCAGCTGTGTGAGGAGCGGATCCATGTTGGCCAAGGCTATGCCCCGTTGAGAGTTCCTTGGACAAAAGCAATTGTAAAGTCGCAGTTTGTTCTAGCCTTTGCCATTAAAGCAAGCGGCCGGGAAAAATATGAAAACATGATAGAACATGATAGAACTGCCATCAACTGCCATGTGCAGTCGGACGAATACATGCTCAATCATGTTCATATTCGTGAAGCGGTTTCATTGTGCTAGTGTCAGGTAAGTTGATACAATATGCTGCCCTGCAAGTTGTCAGTCGTAATCACACAACAACTGCAAGCTTTGCAGTCGCCATCCAGCTGGCCCAGCATGCTTTTGTTGTCTAAGGAACCAAAAGCCGGAGTGAAGAAGAAGGAGGCAGCACAAGTACAGCTTTGGAAATCACTCATGACCATGTCATGACAGAATTTTGCTGCCCCTGCTTGTAGGCTCGAGGGTAGGAGGATTTTAGGCTTCAGGAGGGGGATGGAAGGGGCAGTGTATGCCCCCGATCCCGAAGAGAGCGCGCTGCTCTTGAACCTCCTATCTGAGATAGGATTGGTAGGTCCTAGGCTAGCAGTCAGCCATGGAAGCGAATCCGTGCTTGCAAGGCAGCTGGTCGACAGATTGGGCCTGGAACTGAAGTCATGGCATGTTACCTTCATAATTGGCCAGGTGCGCGAGGCCGTCCAGATGACGGATTTGGATGAGCGTGTTGTGGGCACTTCATCCACGAGATCAATGCAAAACATCTTGGACGCTCGAGCAGCAATGGCCAAGGAGAAGGCAGGGACCCTCGAGCCAGGTGACACTACGGTTGTGCTCCCGCTAGTGCCGAAGCGGGGCACGTTGGGGAGGACAGTGCGGTTGAAAAGTGGCCGCATTGCAGCAGAGGATGAAGTCACAGACAAGATCCTGCAGAAGCTTGTTGATGAGATGGTGATCTTCAAGGCACCCGTCTTGGAGGACATAAAGAAGTCCATGAATCCTACAAGGGCCAAGGAGGCATTGCTGGGGAAGTATCGCATCTCAACGGTCCGACGGTATTTGGCTTCATGGCAGAAGTTCAGAGAGTGGGTGGAAGCCTTGGGGAAACCTGGACAGAGGCCAAACAGTGTGGCATTGGTCGACTACATGTATGCCCGGGAGGAGGAAGGCATGGGGCCCTCAATCCCCATCGCGGTGAGCACTGCGGTGTCCTGGTTTGAGCGCACGGCCGGGATTCCTGATGATGAGCAGCTCATGGGCCAGCAGTTCCCGCAGATGGTTATGAAGGAGTTGACGAGGAAGCTGGAGCAGAATGCACCACCGGTCCGTCGGGCGCCTCGGTGGTTGGGGTGCTTCATAGCGCCTATGGAAACTCTGGTTGTGGACAAAGCTGTCCAATTTGAGGTCAGGGTTTGCGCCTGGTTCAAGCTGATCAAGCTTTGGGCGTCGATGAGGTTTGACGACGCTGCCCATTTGAAGACCTCCGAGCTCCGCTTCTATGACGGCCAGTTGATTGGTATGATGCACCAGTCCAAGACTTCAGGCGCCGGGAAGAGAGTGCGTGAGCTTCCGATCTTCATCGCAAAGGAGGCATATGCGCTGCACGAGGATTGGCTGGCGGTGGGATTTGAGTTGGTGAAGCTCCAGATGCCCAGAGACAGGGTCTATGTGTTCCCGGAGGGGTGCTTCTATGGGTCGAGATACGGGGCGTCGCACGTCACGTACGCGGAGGCCTCAGCAGGGAGCGCAAGAGCTCTGGCGATGTTGGAGGGCTACAATGGCCGCTTGATCCCGGATGGCTGGGAGAGGTTCTGGTCAGAGCACAGCGAGCGGGCGACCTTGCCCAGCGGACTTGCAGCTCTGGGCGTGGAGAAGTCCGATAGGGACTTGCTGGGGAGATGGTGCCCAGAGGGTTCGGACGTCTACGTGCGGACCTACAATGCCATCGTGAGAAAGATGCAGAATAAGATGGTAAAAGTCCTCAGAGGAGCAAACGTGTATGGAGAACTTGATGAAGGGGCCGTGATGGAGGAGCTCAAGGTCTGGCTGCATGAAAAATGGACCGTGCAAGAGGATTTGGCCGAGCAGGTCGTGGAAGCATGGAAGGACAGGCTGGGCGTCAAGGGAATGCCAAGGGCTACAGTCCAGATCTCGGATGATGACACCACGATCTATGATGGGTCGCAGAGCGAGAAGGATGACGGTGAGAAGAGCACTAGGGACCCAAAGAAGAGAAAGGCGAGTGAACCTCTTGAAGAAGAGAGGGATGGCAATTTCGTGGTGGTGTACAGGCGTGCCGGCAGGGGCACATTGCACCGGCTGGGCGACAAGGGCTGCTGGATGGCAAAGAGGAGGTTCTTTGTGAGATCAGAGGTCCACAAAGAGTTGCCGCAGCCTGAGGAGTACACGCTTCGATGCAAGCTGTGTTGGAGCGGAGGAAATGGACAGCTCAGTGAATCCACCAGTGATTCCAGGGACGAGCTGAGTCTCAGCGACTGAAAAGGGTTGCAAGGGCGCAGACACATGTTATTTGTGCAGGGTTTCTCCCCGTTGGGTCGCACCCAGGGGGGAGCGGTGGGGTGTGCAGCCACGCTCGTGCAGGATCCAAGTAGCACTTGGCAAGAACCACTGGTAGGATAGGGGAGCACCCCAAGCCGAGCGAGCCGCTCAGGCAGGAGATCAATGCGCAGCGTGCGCAAGGGAAAATCCAGTGGAGGAGAAGGCGGGGTCGCACCTCAGAGATTAGTCTTTGATCACATAGCATGTGAGAGAGACAGTGCATCGCATGCACGCGGAGTGACATGGATGTTTTGAAGGCATAGCATGCTTTACCGTTGGTTGGTTCAACCAGGAGGGGCGGCGCGTTAGGCTGGCGCCGTCATGCCACGGGCGGTTCTGACCGAGGATGAGGGCAAGAAGGCCCTGGAAGTTGCGGGTACAGATATCAAGTACCTGCTGTCACGACATGAGGTGAGCATTGAGAACCAGAAGCTGTTCTTCCACCATGGAGTGACGACGCTTGAGAAGCTTTCAAATTTCGCCAAGGACCGGGACGACCTGGCGGCAGTCCTCAAGGACCACTGGGAGTTGGACTCGAGTAGATCCTTGGATGAGAGGGTGCAGGTGGCAGCGATCACGTGCGCCTTCAGCAACGCAAAGACGAGGAGTCAAAGAGCCGCAGAGGTAGACGCCGAGTACGACACCTTGCAGTGGTCGAGGCCGGTAGTGGCCGGAGAATGGGCGGCCATGCGGTCAGCATTGGAGAGGCGCTACGGGCACGTGGAAGACAAGATCTATCCTTCCAAGGAGTACATCGAGAAGAAGTTGGCAGAGGTTGAAAGCGGTGAATACCGTGCCGAAGAGCTGACTGAAGTCGTGTCGAAGGAGGAAATCGAGCCTGATGCTGTGGTGCCTATTTGGGACTCCAAGGGCCGCCTGGCCATGCGTAAGGCCTCAACAAAAGTCCCGGAACCGGAGAACGCGGAAGAACTCCGCAGGCGATTGACGATCTGGAAGAATGCCATGGTCATGATTTCGATGAAGCATTCCAATCGCCATGAACTCCAAGGGGCATGGGAGGACGCAGTTGAGCAATACAAGGACTACTTGTTGGGCGATTACGTGTATGGCCTCAGTGCAAAAGACGCTGAAGGGCAGACTTTTGCCTCACCACCATGGAAGCTGGTCATTGCCTATGAACGGGCGATTCGGAAGCAGGCAGTGAAGCTCACGAACACGGAGGGCAAGCCGTTGACGGTGGCCTTGAAGACAGCGCGGAAAGATGCAACCGTCAAGGAAAGGAACTTCACTACACCATTGGCATTGTACGCGAAGAGGCCACCACCGCCGTGGAGGGAGCAGCCAGCGGCCAAGTGGAGGACCCCTGAGAAAGGGGAGAAGGGCAAGGAGAAGGGCAAGAGCAAGAAGGGGAAAGGCAAGGGGAGCAACCCCCACTGCGCCACACACACCCCGGACGGCGAATTGATCTGCTTCCGCTACAACACCCCGGGGGAGAAGTGCAAGGTGGCCAAATGCAAATACCGCCATGTGTGCGGAATATGCTTTAGCGAGAAGCACCCCCTCTACGAATGCAATCCGAAGAGCAGAAAGGAGCCAGCTGCCCCGGATACGACGGGGACGAAGTGAAGGACCTTGAGGGCCCTATACGTGTTTTCTGGGAGGCGGAGGCGGAACTCAGTCGCAGGATTCCTCAGAAGACTTGCACCACGAAGGGACATCCAGGTGGAGATCACCGAGTTGGACGTTCAAGCAGATAGAAGGGCAGATTTCACTTTGCCAGCTGTACAGAAACGGTGGTTGCAGATCATTGCTCAAGGCATTTTCTTTGCAATCATTGTCACACCACCCTGTTCAACCTTCTCGAGAGCAGTGTGGGCGAATGATCACGGGCCTTTCCCGGTGAGGAGCTCAAGCTATCCGAGGGGGTTCCCTTGGAATAGGGGGGAGCGTTTCCACAAAGCTGAATTCGGGACGATCCTGGCTGATTTTTCATTTGAAGCTTTGAGACGTCAATTTGCACGCAAACGCAGTGTGGGCATCATGGAGCAACCAGAAGACCTCGGCAGGACCTCGTATGAACGCATGCCCGGACATCGGCCTGCATCAATGTGGCAGTTCTGGCAATTTTGGGAGCTGCTGGAGGTTGAAGGAGTGCAGACAGTGGTCTTTGCACAGAGTCAGTTTGGCACAGAGTCGCCAAAGCCTACGAGGTTTTTGATGCGCATTCATGCATCACTTCATCAAGCAATGCATCCAGGTCCACCTCAATTCGATGATGATGGTTGGTATGTTGGTCCCTTGCCGCGGACATCAGGGGGCGCCCCTCTGATCGGCAAGAAGGACGGAGTTTTCAAGACCGCAAACTCTGCTGCCTGGCCTCCAGCATTGTGCAAATGGACAGCAGAGGCTATTCTCACCTCCTTTCAGCAAGAGTGTAGAGGGGGGGGTGAGGAGTCATTGGAGGAGGTTCTTGGTGGGAAATCTTCGAAGAAGAGGAAGGTGGAGGAGAGATCATTTGGCCAAGAGAAGCGCAAGAGAAGCGAGATGTGCGTGAAGGATGAGGTGAAAGTGGACCCTATGAGTCCGTTGGTCCCGGGAGGACAAGGTGCTCCAAGGGCATGCCGTTGGAAGGGTTTGGAAGCTCCCTTTCATGATGGTGGAGGTTTGGCTTCCCCCGGGAGATGGCCGCCTGAGAGGAGGAAGAAGCTCGAAGAGGAGGTATGGGTGGCCGTGAGGCATCAGTTGCGGCTGGAGGCGGTACGCTCCCTCGGGAGTGTTGCGGAGGTGGAGAGAGAAGCGTTCAGAATGACAAGAGGGGGCGAAGCTTTCAGTCTGGTCAGGGACGCTGCATTCCTTCGGAGAATCAGGGAGGTTTTGTCGGAGAAGCTTGGGATCATGGACCAGGCAGAGCCGGAAGAGGGGCAGCCATTCTTTCTGGGCCTCATGAAGGAAGTATTGAGGAAGGCTGGTGATCCGGATTGGGCCTTCCTGGAGCAAGCGAAGACGGGGTTTCCACTTGGAGTGCTCAACGAACTGCCACGGACACCGGAGGTGTTTGAGGAGCAGCTACGTTGGAACCTGGAGAGTGATGGCTGGGGTGAGGCTGCTTTGCAAAAGAGCAATTACGCCTCGGCTGAGGAGCATGAGAAGTATCTGGTGGAGCACTTGGAGCAGGAGGTGTCGGAAGGCCTCATGGTCAAGATGGAGGAGGATGCTTTTGTGGAGAAGTTTGGGGACAACAGAGCAGTAGCAGCATTGGCAGTTCTCGTGGAGGATGAGATCACGGGCAAGAAGCGTGTCATCCATGATGGCACGCATGGTGTGAGGGTGAACCATCGGATCAAGTGCAGAGACAAGGTCCGTATGCCTGGTCCTAGGGAGAAGAGAGCCTTGTTGGAAGAGTATGAGGCCGAGCATCATGCAGTGCTCTCGCTGGTGGGCGATTTTGCGAAGGCTCATCGCCGTTTCAAGTATGCTGAGGAGGAGCAGGGCTTCCTTGGATGCAAGTCTTCCACTCAGTCGAGCACGGTTTACGTGAACCAAGTGGGCACCTTTGGGGTTGCATCGACTCCGTATTGGTGGGCAAGGTTGAGTGCAGCCCTGATGCGGCTGGTACACTGGGTCTTGGGGGATGCTTTTCCCAATGACATGCTTCTGTACGCCGATGACCTTGAGGTGCTGGCCATTTGCGTTTGGGGCCCCATTCAAGTGGTCAAAACAGAGGGGTGGCCTCATCACAGAGTGGATTGGTCTGACGACAGACTATCAGACCTATTCGATGGGGCTTTCAGTGAAGAGGACAGAATGGGTGATCGGCTGGATACAGTCATTGAGGGAGCGCAAGGAGGTGTCCTACAGAGAGTTTGCGGCGGGGCTAGGCAGGCTTGGCTTCTCTGCTCTGGCACTCCCCTGGGAGAAACCGCTCCTTGGGCCTTTGTATGCATGGTCGTCGGCAATCCAATCGAACAAGGGTGAGATGACCATTCCCTGGGCAGTTCTGTTCATTTTGGGCTGGATAGCACAGAGGCTCAAGACCGGGGGCCGCATGGAGGTCGTGAGGCGGCCCCAGGGCTCCGCCTCGCGCATGGTGAGGATCTGGACGGACGCCAAAGCAACAGAACAGGCTGCTTGGATAGGGGGTTGGCTTGAAGAGAGCTCCAACAGCAGGGATTGCAGGTGGTTTTCATTGAAGGTGACGGAGATCAGTGCGCCCTGGCTATACTGTAGGCAGAAGAATCCCAAAAGAGTGATTGCAGCACTGGAGCTCCTGGCCACGTTGGTGGCCTTGAAGCTGTGGCTTGTTGAGGCAGGGGCATCAGCAGAGGTATGTGCAGAAGCCTTTACAGACAACAAGGGCAACGCATTCATCATTCGCAAGGGCCTTTCAACGAAGTACCCAGTGACGATTTTGGTCATTGAGATTGCGGAGACGCTCAGGAGGACGGACACCTTTGCAACCTTGACGTGGGTGAGGAGAGATGGAAACACATTGGCAGACGCTCTGACCAATGAAGATTTCAGTTCCTTCGAGAGCCAGAAGAGAGAGCAAGTCGAAGAGAGCAAGCTGAAGTGGTACGTCATGGACGAGCTCCTCAGGGGCAGTGAGACGTTGTTCAATGAGATCAAGGAACACAAGAATAGAAAGAAAGTTGAGAAGGCCAATGGAAATCAGACCAGGAAGAAGGTCAGAAAATTCTTTGGCCGTTGGAAGTCCTGACTGATGTTGGGACAATCTGCTCCAGAGAAGCTCTCTGGGGCAGACGGCAGGAGGAT